AATGGCCTCCAACCAACTAGCAATGGCCTCCAACCTACTAGCAATGGCCTCCAACCTAGTCGCAATGGCCTCCAATCTACTAGCAATGGCCTCCAACCTACTAGCAGTGGCCTCCAACCTACTAGCAGTGGCCTCCAACCTACTAGCAATGGCCTCCAACCTACAAGCAGTGGCCTCCAACCTACTAGCAATGGCCTCCAACCTACAGCAATGGCTTCCAACCTACTAGCGATAGGATGAGGGAAAGTCTGAGATGGCATGCTTCCATTGCGATGTGTCACATAGCGAGGCGGTCTGTCAGTCTGTCAGTGTCTGATGGTTGCATGTTGACCTTGTGCTACATCGATGTGCTGCCGCCAGGTTTGCAGCTCCGTCTCTCTTACGGTCACGTGTGAGCCGAACTGGGCAGCACGAGCCGTGCTCTGGTCAGCTCGTTCGACCCCGAACGGGGTGAAAAGTACCAAGAGCTGACCCTGTCGTTTGTTGGGGCTTAATATGGGACGATCTGCATTGAGGTTTGGGATGCTTGTCTGCCTTACATTACAAGAAAGAAAAAACAATTGTATAGATCCACCACCAAATAGCTCGCACGCAACAAGAAACCTTTAGTATCTATGTCTATATTGGTTCTACTAGCCCAGCTGGTATTGAAAGCATGCGACAAAGTTTGACACCTGCCTTTATTTGCTGTGGATATATGTGGATGAAATATGATGAACCATAGTTAAGAAATAGTTAAGAACGGATTCTGCCTATGAGTTGTTTGCACAGCTTTGTCTCTGCAAAAACAAAGTCATCAAAACACAACCTACTCCCAGTAGGCACACCTACTCCCGTAGCAGAATGACATAGAATGACCCTCACACAAAAAGTAATCCGAAGATCAATCAATTCACGGAAAGGAGCTTCTCACATCAGCTCTTCACGATCACTCCGCGAAACGCTGTCATCATCTCTGCCGAGCGGCTTCTGGGTCTGACGTGAATTCTCCCGTCTCGGCTTCGGTTTCTTCATCCACTCCTGCCCAGCCCCGGGGGCTTTGCGCTTCGCCGCGAAGTCCAACATGGCTCAAGCGGAACGCAAGGCTGGGAATGTTGAACAACAAACCTGAACACTATCAGTGTATCAGTTTAGAGTGTTGCCATATCCTCGTCTGTTCAGATTTATTCAGCATGTTCTTCGCTTCCATTATTTTAAGGCATATCATGGTATATCTACAAGGCTAGGAAGCTAGACCATCACAACATGACATGCGGCAAGATGCCCTGCACCTGCCAAGGCACAGTTCCGAGCCATAAGAACGTTACGCCGCCATGGATACAACTGACTCGATGCGCTGGGTCCCCTGGGTGCTCCAAGAATCTGTCAGAAAAATGAAACTGATTCATCGATCTATTAGCTTGGAGGCCATCGCCGTCGCTATTAGGTTGGACTCATTGGAGGCCCAAAGAAAAACTTTGCAAACCTCAACTACACCAAATATCAAAACAAATAAATCAAACAGATTAACCAACCAATCTTCGCAATCGTCCTCTTTCGCTCTCCCACTCTGGTCTTTGACGGGCCTGCCGCGTCAATCCGCTACAGGTGAGCGATCCGTGGCTGTGGTCATCCCCAGAGGGGTTTTGGTGGCCACAGGAGCTTCAAGAAGGTTGCCCCTAGTAGCTTCTGGCTCCTAGTAGCGATGCCAGGAGCCCCTAGTAGCGTCCTTGCTCCTAGTAGCGATGCCCTTTGCTCCTAGTAGCTTCTTGCTCGACTAAAACGAGCTCCTGGGAGCGGAAAACCACCTGGTTTTGCCCTCACAATTGAGGCAAAATTGGCAGCTCGCTCGAAAGCGTGCCGCGATCGTTTCTTGCAAACAGAGGTCAATGATGATCACACTCTGTGCAAGTGCTCCAAGTGGTCAGTACAGTTCGAGAATATTGCAAAATCAAAGTACAAAGGAGAAAAGCAGAATTTATAGTTTGTAACAAGAAGCAACTAATAACAAGTGCCTTACTTCTAGTAACAAGTGCCTTACTTCTAGTAACA